TACCACCGATAGTCTGTTCAACATCACAGAAGCGGTAAGCTTCTGGGCTGAATATAAACGCATGAGCGTGCTCTACCCCACTCTGAGAAAAAAAAGACAAGGGTCATGTTTTACGATGGATTATCACCTGCAATATTTGATCAGGTTAATGTGCACTTGATTTATGTCGCTGCTCAAATAGCTGTTAAAAAGGTCAACTCTTGTGAAGCTGCAGCGTCCTGTGTTTTACCTTCTCCAGCCTTCTCCACGGAGCTTCCTCCATGTAAACTTTGGCCTTCAGCACATGGTTAAAAGAGGTTAGGAAGTGATTGCAGATATCCAGGGAAAACTGTTCGATGTTCTTTATCTGAACAGAGAAACAAGCAGGTTGACAGGCTGTAAAAGACGTCAATAACAAATATTTTAGCAGCTGAAACAGCAATAACGGGTCTTCCCTGTTCCTTAAAACGGTGTTAGACTCACCCCTCTGAGCTTGGCCAAACCGTGGACGGTGTTTTTAATGGTGTCAGTAGGGATGATGTCTGAGTTGTCTCCAGTTAGATAATCTTTGCGTGACTTGAGCGTGAGCTCCACATCAGCCTTCACCTCAATGATAGAATGCTGTCTTCCCTGCCTCCGGACGACCAGCACCTTCACCGTGTTCTTGCCGTAACCTGTTCGCACAAACTCCACTTTCTGCATGTGTGAGGAAATAGTTTTAATAAGATGGCACACTCAAACAGTTTCCAGTGGTAGAAGTGTTTCGTGCCACGGTGTCATCTTAGAGCTACAAATATAATATTTCTTTAAAATGTTGTCTTTGGATAGTTTGCAGTGAAGTTTCTTGTGTGCATTTGCAGGAGCTTGTTAAATATATCTCCGTATTCCAACAGTAATTAAAAAAATCTGAAATCAGATATTGTCTGAAAGTACACGAGTACTACAACATAAAATAAAAAAAAGACTTTTACTTTGTGAGGAATTAGAAATGTTTTAAAAACTAACCTTTAGAGATCATGGTTTGACCCTGTGGCCACTGAACC